GCATACTAAGCACCTATAAACGTGTGTGGCTCAGAGCAGGTGTCCAGCATCGGGCTCCTTTCCCCCACCGCTTACTCAGGTGTGAATTTTGTCCACACTGTTCCAGCTGGAGACAAACAAGGCAATCCTTGGGCTGATCACTTCCAACGGGCCAGTCACCATGAAATTACATACTGAAATTCTTTTTAGAAGTGTTTTTTAAAATATAACCCAAAGTATTACCACATTACCAAGTTCATTTCAAAAACACACTTCAAAGCTCATTAAGATCATTTGGAAATCAACAACTGAAAACTGGCTGAGAAAACTTCAGCTGGCTTAGTCAACTCTATTATCAAAAAAATTATTAATCAATAACATTCTAATTAGCATCTTGAAATAAGCTCCCCAGGGAAACCATCAGCCTGTCAAAGACATGTTATTAAAAAAAAAAAAAAAAAAAAACCTTCTACGAATACTTTATAAACTTTCAAATAAACCAGAAGGTGTTTCTCTAGAAGGTCACAAAGAGCTTTCATGTGGTATCTATAAATCTCTCCACAAACTGGTATAAACATGTAGTACACATCAAAATGTAAATGCATTCACAAATGAGGCTTCATTTTTTAAGTAAATTATCACTATGTTATCACTATAATCCTTTAAATTGTCTCATCCAGAAATGAAGTTGAATTCTCATTTTATATTTTTCTAAGTATTCGCCATTTATTTGTTATTTGGACTTCAAAATCATGTACACATTTAACAACAACAACAAAAAAGAACCTAAATGACTGGCCTAAAAATAGTAAGCTAATAAATTCATGAAAATAGGGAAACCAGACTGAAAGATAAACTATAAAAAAAAAAAAACTATGTTTCTAATTTAGAAAACATGGATTAGTAGAGGAAAAAAATACATTCAACTGCAAAATGATTTCCAAAAGTTCAAAACCAAGAAAACTTATAAACTCAGCAATGCTAAAAGAAAATAGGTGTCAGAAATTTCTTAAAGGGATAGGATACTGCTAGCCTTAAGAACTCTGGGTTCAGTGAACCAGAGTTTAAAAATAAAAAAGCACTAATTTTGCCCCAGACTTCTTTGCGTGGGTATTTAAAGAAAAAATAATAATAATTAATCCAATTTCAATCTACTCATTTAGGACAATATCTTAGGATGTTTTAAAATAAACTATGGGGGTGACTGTTAGGCCTAGTAGTTAAGATAATTATGGACTCCCATCAGAGTAATTGGGTTGGATTCCTAGTTGTGGCGTCTTACTCCAGAATCCTGCTGATGCAGACCCTGGGAGGTAGCGGTGATGGCTAAAATAACAGGGTTCCTGCCCTAAGTGGGAGGAGGCCTGGATTAAGTTCTTGGCTCCCAGTTTTAGTCCCAGCCCAGCACTGCCACTGCAGGCAGTGGGAGAGTGAATCAGTGGATGGGAAATGTTTTGTCTGTTACTCTAGCTCTCTGCTTTTCAAATAAATAAATTAAATAATGGGAACAGTGCTGTGGCACTGTAGGCTAAGTCTCCGTCTGTGGCGCCAGCATCCCTCATGGGTGCCAGTTTGCGTCCCGACTGCTCCTCTTTCAATCCACTTCTCTGCTATGGCCTGGGAAAGCAGTAAAATATGGCTCAAGTGCTTAGGCCCCTGCACCTGCATGGGAGACCTGGAAGAAACTCCTGGCTTCTGGCTTCAGATCGGTCCAGCTCCAGCCGTAGAGGCCATTTGGAGAGTGAGCCACTGGGTGGAAGACCTTTCTCTCTGTCTCTCCCTCTCTCTCTCTGTAACTCTACCTCTCAAATAAATAAATAAAATCTTTAAAAAAATTTTAAGCTAATTAATTAAATGATATTATGAATAAGGCAAACCGAAGATTACCTTTTTTATTCCAATCTCTTTTCATTTAAAGGAAGCACAGTCATTCCCTGTTCACAGGAACTGCATCTGCTTCCTACTATGTTATCATTCCTTTACCTTAATTTTCAATGTTACTTTTGAACTATTCTTATGATTATAATATCCATTCAAAATATTCTGCTGTGCAGAGAAAATACACGGTCACAATGCCTGGGTTCACCTTTTTCATTTCCAAAATATTTCACAGTCAACATTCTTTGCACGTCTCCAGGGGATTTTACTGTTTCCCGCTTGCCCAAAACTCTATGCCACATGTGTTCTCACATAAGTATGTCTTCAATAATTATTTTCAGTTACTTTTAATGAGGGGCTAAAATGATCCCCCACTGCCACATATTGAAAAGTTAAGAGCCTTACACTCTAATACAAAGCTCCTGCATACATATCTCCCTTGCCCAAATTTTGAAATGCCAGTCATGCTATTTGTTCTCATCAGATAAATACTTAAATTTCCTTTCATTAGCTTCTTTATTCAACTTTATAGGGTCCCTCTATTTTTCTTCTCCTGAGCTAACCATTTCCTTTTATAGAATCTACTTGCTAAATGTTCACAACTTTTCACCAAATTAAATAATGAAGAAATAGGACTGGTGAGAAGTAATTTCTTCCTACTCTTATCTGGTTTAACACATAAAATACAATTTAAAGAAATGAAATAAATTAACACTTGATTAGGCCTCAAAAAGATAGCTGTACACCTGTCTTTCCAAGGCACCACTGTCTAGAAGTTCCAGTGTGACCTCTAGATGGGCTGGAATAACTTCTGAAGTTACCCAATTTTTTATTAAAAATAGTGCCAAAGAAAATGAACTATTTATGCATCAAAATCTTTACCTTACGAAGTTAACTCCTTTCTTCAAAAGAAATTTCTCCATGAAACCACTAACATTTGCTACTTATCCCCATCACTTTAAACCCAAATCACCTCAACTCATGTTTTAGCACAGCTCAAATAAAAAGCAAAGTTTACAACTGTGTTGGGTGAACATTAACAAATGTGCCTGCTGTTCCGTGCATATGTTTTCTATGACTAAGCTCTGGTATATTAATAAATCATTTCGCTTCTTAATTATATATACCTCATATCACACATACATGGATAATTTCATGATGATGTGCCAGAAGTTTCTCAAGGGTAATTTTAACAAGTGTGTGCTCACATTGAAATGAAGAAGCACAGGTTGTTTGTCATCTGATCACTTAAATAGGCACAACTATTTCCAAACGTCAGCTTACTTCAAAACAGGAGGGAAATTCAGAAGAAACATAACAGTATGTTAAACATCTTGAGCACAAATTGTTATTCATAAAAAGTTGTAAGTCAAGAATATCTGCATCTTCAATTTAGGGGAATACAGAAGACTTTCTTAATAAGCATGAGCACAAAGGTCTTTGACTTTTAAAAGTGTATAAAAGTCAACAAAACACCATATACACATACGCGCGCACACACATACAAAAACACACACGATTTAACTGCAGCAAAGAAGATGGAAGGACAAAAGCCTATTTCACTTAAAATGTTTTAGTTACTAATTCTGCTTTAACAGAAAAATGGTTAATTTGCAATAAGCTACCACTTACATCATCTACTAGTGAAAATAACATTAACAGAATCAAAAATAAATGTGACTGGATATTTAATTTTAAAGTACATACTATCAACTTAAGAACATTTATGAATAAGAAAATAAACAATTTCAAATTATTAAAATTTAGGAAATGATGACTATACTTGAAATAGACATTTAGAGATGTAACTGTATGATTATGTCACAATTAAAGTCCATAATCATAAAATGTAAGAAAATACTCTACATGATTTATGAAATTATTTGAAAACGTTTCAACCTATAACCTTCCCTTTTCATTGACTTAATCTCTAATTTTATATCTACATATATAACATATAATTTCCCTTTTCCAGAATATTTGTTGTACTTCAAGTAAGAAAACTCCAGATGCCAAGATATATGACCAGTGCTTTTGACTAACTCCATGGAGAATGAAGATTAGCTTAACTTCACACTTACACCTAGACACAATTAAAAGAGTAGATATCTATTTCTTAGAACTGTTAAAACTTCCTTTGTTGACATTACAGAAAACTCAAGAATGTTCGAGATTTAAAGAGAGCAGGGTAAACAGTGGTCTCCACATGTCACATCTAGTGGTCAATCCTGTAACATCCCCACTTCCAGACACTCAGCAGCACCTGACACGTGCTCATGCTCCGTCCTTCCTCAAACGCTTCCTTCTCCAGGCTGCAGGGACACCGCCATGCCTCTTCTCTTAGCCAGCCAGCTGCTCTTCCTCAGTCTCTCCTGCCCTAATTCCTGAGTGTCACAGGCCACCGCCTCTCTCAGGTCTTCCTCATCGCCCTGTTCCTCAGCAAACTCCTAATCCAGTATCATGGCTGACCACTCTCACATCCACAACCTCAGGTTCTATCTCCCCAGGTTCTTTTATCAAACTGCCTCCTCAGCAAGTCCACCTGGATCTCTAACAAACAAAACCCATCACTTTCCAATGCAGGCCTGCTCCTTGCCAGCCTTCTCTGTAAAAGCAAATGGCACTACCACTCAACTGCCACTGGTTCTTTTCCTCACACACACTGTGAGACCTCCTTCACAGAGCCCAAGCTGGTCCACTCCCACCTGCTCGGTTCTATTACCTAAAGACCTATGAGCCTTCAAGAATGAAAAGGAAAAACTGGTTACGAAACAGCACAGAAAGATTGAGTGGAAGCCTGTAGGGAAAACCAGCAAAGCAGTTGCTCAGAAGCACCCAAGATGGAATCACAGAAGAAAATTCAGGGCCCGAGGGACAGGATTAAAAGAAGCCATGAGAAGGCAGAGTCCATTTAAAAGCAATAACTCTTCAGTCTTGGCAGCCATTATTATTTGTGTCAGCTTTCTTGTTTCTCTAGGAAGAATAATATGGAAGGAAGGAAAAAAAAAAAAAAAAAACAAAAACCTGGGAAACCATTTGTTTTTATTTTAGTAGCATCTTCCAATAGCAGGTGTGAAGAAAGGGGAACATGAATGTAAAATCTGTGAGTGAGATATAAAAACAGGAATTCGGTGACTACGTACTGTACAGAGATCTTTATACTGCAGCTTTTGGAATTTCGTATCTGTATTGCACGCACAGAGCTCCACGTAACCAAGAACGACTTGAAACACAGTATTGTGAATGGCTTGGGTGAAGTGCATATGAAGTTGATCCATTGCTGTCTATGGAAAGAAAAACATACAGCATAATTTCAGTATTTATTACAACATGATTTATTTATTAAAATGAAAAAATTTCAACCGATTGAAAAAACTCAAGGGAAAAAACCTTTCCAAATTTAGCTATAGAACAAAGATCACTACTATCCCCAGGATGGACTGTAGTCTGCACATAACCCAAATCACCATGACAGTGTCCCACTTGAGAGAAATCTGCATGACCAATGCCATTCTGTGGCTCTGTATTTACAGCCGACACTCAGCCCGCTCTTCCTCACACATGCCAGGCCTAATGATGGCTCTGGATGTGCCATCAGATGCTCGTTCCCTTACGTGATCCAGGGCACTTCTCTATGGTTGCCACCTCCGAGAAACCTTTCCCGACTATCCTCTGTAAATCAGCACTTCCCCTCACTCTACCCACTCACCCTGATTTATATTCCATTCTACCACTTGTAACTACCTGACATCACTTCCATTCATTTCTTTTGTTTTGTTTTGTTTTGACAGGCAGAGTTAGACAGTGAGAGAGAGAGAGACAGAGAGAAAGGTCTTCCTTCCGTTGGTTCACCCCCCACAAATGGCTGCCACGGCCGGCACTTCACACCAATCTGAAGCCAGGAGCCAGGTGCTTCCTCCTGGTCTCCCATGCAGGTGCGGGGCCCAAGCACTTGGGCCATCCTCCACTGCACTCCCGGGCCACAGCAGAGAGCTGGACTGGAAGAGGAGCAATCAGGACAGAATCCGGCGCCTCAACCGGGACTAGAACCCGGAGTGCCGGCGCCGCAGGTGGAGGATTAGCCTAGTGAGCCACGGTGCCGGCCTCCATTCATTTCTTTAATGTTTATAGATCTCACTGGAAGGTAAAATATATTAGGGCTCAGCCGGCGCCGCGGCTCACTAGGCTAATCCTCCGCCTTGCGGCACCGGCAACCCGGGTTCTAGCCTCGGTCGGGGCGCCGGATTCTGTCCCGGTTGCCCCTCTTCCAGGCCAGCTCTCTGCTATGGCCCGGGAGCGCAGTGGAGGATGGCCCAAGTCCTTGGGCCCTGCACCTGCACGGGAGACCAGGAGAAGCACCTGGCTCCTGGCTTCAGATCAGCGCGGCGCACTGGCCGCAGCGGACATGGGAGGGTGAACCAACAGCAAAGGAAGACCTTTCTCTCTGCCTCTCTCTCACTGTCCACTCTGCCTGTCCAAAAAAAAAAAAAAAAAAAAAGATATATTAGGGCTCATACAGAGGCCCCTGGAGCAATGTACACAGTAGGTAACAATTTTCAAGGAATGTAAGACTTAATCTTATGGGGAAAATTAGAAGTTATCCCAATTTTGAAGATCTTTAAAAATATTCCTCAAAATTTCGAAGTGTCTTTATTGTTTCCAAGGTACAGGCCAAGACATGAAAATTTGTAAAGAACAACAAACTGTCAAAATTATTTAATGAGATTTCAAAAGGTTAATAGAGTTTGATAAAGCCTTAAATTTCCTTTTTAGAGAGAGGACCACTGAAGGGAAGAAAACCTTTACACTCATCATGTTCAAGTGTTATCTAGGCAAATATATAATTCTGGACATACAGAAGACACAACTTTCACACCTTGGCCCCTAGTGCAAGTTTTTCAAGGAAATCTTTGGGCATTAAGAGTATGGAAAGCCATGATAATGAGAAAAGTTATGGCATTCAGTGAATACTAGAATAATAGAACCCCATGAAAAATCCGGTAAATGCAATGGACCTCTTTTATAGGTCAATGCACAAGAGTTACATATTATCTTGAGTGGTTGTGGCTGGCCAGTCTAGAAACCCATTAAGGCCCAAACTAAGAAATCATGTTTCTGGATCAACAGATGTGGTAAGAGAGAATACATATCATCTGCCAATGAATTATTTTATAAAACATTTTGTTTTTAGATTTTTGTTTGATTTATTTTGAAAGACAGAGACAAAGATATCTCCCATCCATGTTGCACTCCCCAACTGCTTCCAGCAGCTGGACTAGGCAGGACTGAAGGCAGGAACTAGGAACTCAATCCAGGTCTCCCATTTATGAGGCAAGGACTCAAACACCTGGGCCATTATCTGCTGCCTCCCAGGGTGCCAGGACATGAACCGCACACTCAGATGTGGGAAACAGGCATTCCAAGCACCATCTTAAACACTGTGCCAACATCCACTCCTATGTTTTTTTTTTAAGATGTATACAATTGTGAAAATACTGGGCCTGAAAATTATTTCTTAGTTCCAAACATTTGTAATGTTTTAATTACACTACATATACTCAATTTATGCAAATTATATCACTACCATTAATTCGGCATAAACATGTACTTTATTAAATGAAACTTCATGAGAATATTACATTAATAATATTCAGATCTAAAACAATCTTCAAGGTCAGGAGATTCCTGATTAAGAAAAAAAGCAAACATCCTTTTGAAACTAACCTGTGTTTTTCCGAGCAGTCGATAAGCTTGTTGAACCTTGGTATAATGGTTAATGTCAAAATTCTTGCAGATTTTAGAAAGAGCCACATCCAATTGCTCCTAGGGAATTAAAAGAAGAAATGAATAGTGATTAAGACATACTGTTTTCAAGAAAATATTTGGACTAATCTCTCACTTTTAATTAGTATCTAAATATATTTATTATCACACTGGATTTAGTAGTCAAAAACAAGTTTAAATGAAATAGAAATAAATTGGAGTTGCAATTTATTAGCAATTATAATCTACTTTACTAAATATCATTAACATGTGAGTTTTTATACCATGAAACCTATGTCTACTCTTTCCAAGGGAAACAAAATAGTTGAACAGTTTCTAAAGAAATTTTATTTTATCTTTACTGAACTTTATATTTCGTCAAACATCTGGTAATATCTTACAACTATATGAACTGATTTCAGGTAATACTGAAAAGCAATCTTTCTGTAATCATTGACAAGTAATTCTCAAAAAAACCCATCGACCTTGAAAGTACACATCTCGAGGTTTAAGCTTTTCTATATAAAAGCACTATTTGTTTATGAACTTCTATTTCAATTATTTCATTTTTATATAACAATTTTTTACAGAGGTGTAGAGTAGTATTATATGTAGACAGTAAAGAAATACTGAGCTCTCATAGAAAATCATCATTAAAAATATTCAGAAAATTTTTTACTTTAGGGATTAAAAGCATTTGTTTCTGTGATTATCAAAAACTTGGCCTTCTTACAGTCAGCAAAGAATTACTTGTGATCAGAAACTACCTTCACAAGACTTTTGAAAGCCTAAACTCAACAAAATTAAAAGCAGAAGAAATCAAATAATTCCTATTAAATTTACTAAAATGAAAACCCTGCTTCGCAAAGACTGCCAAGGTGAGAGATGAACTCCGAAAATGTGTGTGGGAGGTAAAAGGCTTCATGTTCACAGCAACACATTTTTTCCCTTCCTGTTTCTAGAGTTTTAATGCACTGATGAAATAACTCTACTATGAGAATTAGGACTCTGTAGGAGAGTTTTCATCAACCATTAATTATGGATAAATTAATTCACTAAAAGAGAAGTGGTTGATAAAATATAATCAATACATGGAAAGTAAGTTGGCCATTGGATATACCCATGACTGATTATATCCCTGTTTTAAGGTCCCATAATTCCAAAAGTCTTATTGAGCTTACATTTAGGTACTCCAAATGAAAAAAACAACAAATTGTAGTGATCTGGAAACACCAGTTAGGATGCCAAACTTAAAACACAATGTTGCAGTTGTGCCATTCAGAAAAAGCTTGGAAAGAAAAGTCATTTATGACAAAACTTTTTTTTTAACTTTTATTTAATAAATATAAATTTCCAAAATACAACTTTTGGATTATAGCAGCTTTTTCCCCCCATAACTTCCCTCCCACCTGCAACCATCCCATCTCCCTCTCCCTCTCCCATTCCATTCGCATCAACTCATTTTCAATTCTCTTTATATACAGATATCAATTTAGTATATATTAAGTAAAGATTTCAACAGTTTGCACCCACACAGAAACACAAAGTATAAAGTAATGTTTGAGTACTAGTTATACCATTAATTAACATAGCACAACACATTAAGGACAGAGATCCTACATGGGGAGTAAGTGCACAGTGACTCCTGCTGTTGATTTAACAATTGACACTCTTATTTATGACGTCAGTTATCACCCTAGGCTCTTGTCATGAGTTGCCAAGGCTATGGAAGCCTCTTGAGTTCACCAACTCCAATCTTATTTAGACAAGGTCATAGTCAAAGTGGAAGTTCTCTCCTCCCTTCAGAGAAAGGTACCTCCTTCTTTGATGGCCCAATCTTTCCGCTGGTATCTCACTCACAGAGATCTTTCATTTAAGTCATTTTTTTTTGCTTTTTTGTTTGTTTGTTTGTTTTTTACCAGAGTGTCTTGGCTTTCCATGCCTGAAATACTCTCATGGGCTTTTTAGCCAGATCCGAATGCCTTACAGGCTGATTCTGAGGCCAGAGTGCTGTTTAGGATATCTGCCATTCTATGAGTCTGCTGTGTATCCTGCTTCCCATGTTGGATTGTTCTCTCCTTTTTAATTCTATCGGGACAAAACTTTCTTACCTCAATTTGCTCTAAAGTGTCTTGCAGCTTTGAATTCAGTTCACTAGTAAATAAAACAGAGAGTTAGATGTGCCCATCTTTTTTTTCTTTTCTTTTCTTTTTTTTTTTTTACAGGCAGAGTGGACAGTAAGAGAGAAAGAGACAGAGAGAAAGGTCTTCCTTTGCCGTTGGTTCACCCTCCAATGGCCGCCGCGGCCCGCGCGCTGTGGCCGGCGCACCGTGCTAATCCAAAGGCAGGAGCCAGGTGCTTCTCCTGGTCTCCCATGGGGTGCAAGGCACAAGGACTTGGGCCATCCTCCACTGCACTCCCTGGCCATAGCAGAGAGCTGGCCTGGAAGAGGGGCAACCAGGACAGAATCCGGCACCCCGACCAGGACTAGAACCTGGTGTGCCGGCACCACTAGGCAGATAATTAGCATATTGAGCCGCGGCGCCGGCCAGATGTGCCCATCTTTAAAAAAGACAATCTAAGTACTAAATAAATACATGTCAGCTGCATCAATAATAAACATAATCAAGAACCAATAGTATGAACAGCATGATGGGCTGCTGATTCTATAGACATCCAGTAAAACAAGAGAAAGAAATACAAGGGAAAACATTAGAGTACAAAATAGGTAAGATCATTATTAGCAGCAAAATACATATGAGCAGAAAATCTTAAAGAACTCATGGATAAAACTGAGAACTAAAGAATGAAAAATTATGGCAATTTTTAAGATAAAAGTATAATTAAAAAGTAAAGTTTAAAAACTAAGATTAATTTCTATATACTGGGAACAAATGATTAGAAAATGAAAATTTTTAAATACCATTTAAAAACAAATACCCAGAAATACTAATAAGAGTACACAATGTATTATTCTGCTCATTTAAAATTCTAAACAAGCAAAATGTTAGTGACAGAAGGCAGAACAGGGACACCCAGAGACAACGCGGGCAGGCAGGAAGGTTCTGGGGCACTCACAATGCTCTCTGTCTATTCCTTGGTGTGTCACATGGCTATGTTTATTTTGCAGAAATTCACCGAGCTATACATTTAGCATATGAAATTGAACCTGGGCTTATTTGTCTAATTATCTGTAGGTCAATTTAAAAAACAGAATTGACATTAAATTATTATATCTCATTACTAAAAAAGATTTATGATAGCCAACAAAATACAATCATATGGAAAATATTTAACAAAATAGATTGAGATTCAGTTTTTAAAACAGTAAGAACAAGTGAAAAATGTAATTTAACACACCAAAATCTGAGAAAGTTTTCCACAACTGTTATCTGTGATTATTAATTTGGTTCTTGAATTCCTAGCAGCCAGAGTATAATAAATAAGGAAGGCCACAGTACATGATTTCATAATATTATCCATATTATTCAAACAACTAAAGAGGGGGAACAATCGAAACACAACAAAGAAACTAAAACCATTTTTGCTGACATTAAGTTAATTCTGCCAATCTTAATAAAGTGGACTTGTTGTCTCCTAAGGCATAACACCTCTACCAATACCCTGGCAGCACATCCAGTAACAAGTTCCTTGTACTGGCTTTTGACAGAGTCTCTCAGTGCAAGCTGAGGAGGTCACACCAGAGTAAGACATAGAGACACAGATAAACAGAGATAGATAAATCAGTCTGTCAGAAAAATAAATCCAATAGAATATAAGTATCCAGTTTTTGATAGTCTCAAAGATAAACGTCCAAAAATCTAAAGGAACTGAGTCACTGTTTTACAAATACTATTTATCATAAGCATACTTCAGACTGAAGTTGAGGACTGGAGATTATATTCCCTAGTAAAAACTAAAAGCAAAACAATATCCTTCAATAATCAACTATATAGGATTAATATCTTATTGAAAAAAATTAAGATCTCTAACCAGGAAATTATGCCAGAAATGCAATCAAATTCATATACAAGTTAAGGGAGTATTTGTAGGACGCATTTTAAGATTTTCCTTGGGAAAAAAAAAAAATATAGGCCAATTCCTGTCCAAAAAACAATGAATGAATGAATGAATGAATGAGAGCTAAAAGTTTCAAAACACCATACCGAAAGGACGTTAAAAAGAATTAAATAAATGTTTCACCCAATCCTTCACACTCCAAAACAAAGGATGCCTAGATAAAGAGAAGGTGGTACACAATAGAATACTATGGAGCCATTAAAACGGATGAAATCCTGGGGCCTGTGCTGTGGTTTAGCAGGTAATGCCGCTGCCTGCACTGCCGGAATCCCATATGGGTGCCAGTTCTAGTCCCGACTGCTCCACTTCCCATCCAGCTCTCTGCTCTGGCCTGGGAAAGCAGTAGAAGATGGCCCAAGTCCTTGGGCCTCTGTACCCCTTGAGACCCAGAGGAAACTCCTGGCTCCTGTCTTTGGATCGGCACAGCTCTGGCCTTTGCAGCCAATTGGGGAGTGAACCAGTGGATGGAAGACTTTTCTCTCTCTGCCTCTCCATCTCTCTCTGTGTAACCTTGACTTTCAAATTAAATAAATAAATCTTAAAAAAAAAAAAAAAAGAAATTACATCAAGAGAAGTAAGTCAAGCACAGAAAGGCAAATACCAAATGACCCTGCCCGTATCAGAATCTAAAAAAGTTATCTCAGAAGTTAAAAGTAGAATAGTGGTTACCAAAGCAGCCATAAACACATACAATTATCACACGACAAACAGAACTAAAAACAAACAAACAAACATCGATATCTTCTCTACCCCAGAATCACTCCTTCTCCCATGTTCATTATCTTGGTTCACAGCATCAGCATCCACCCCATGCACGCCAGAAATCTCTGGGTCACCTTTAATGCTTCCTCTCTTCATGAGTAACCGGAAATGAAATCCTGCTGATTCTACCCTTTCAGTATTTCCCATAATCACCCACATTATACTGTCCCAGTTTTCTAACTGAAGCATTTTTATCTTTTGCCTAAATTATTTATTTATTTTTCCCCCAAAGAAACCTTTTATTTAAGGAGTATAAACTTCATACAGTTCATAAGTACAACTTTAGGAATATAGTGATTCTTCCCACCACACCTGCCCTTCCATACAAAAAAATGGAAAAATCTCCCATGTTCACAGATTGGAAGAATCAACATTATCAAAATGTCCATACTGCCGAAAGCAATTTACAGATTCAATGCGATACCAATCAAAATACCAAGGACATTCTTCTCAGATCTAGAAAAAATAATGCTGAAATTTATATGGAAACAGAGAAGACCCAGAATACCTAAAGTAATCTTCTACAACAAAAACAGAGCTGGAGGCATCACAATACCAGATGTCAAGACATACTACAGGGCAGTTATAAACAAAACAGCATGGTACTGGACAAAAACAGATGGACAGACTGATGGAACAGAATAGAAATGCTAGAAATCAATCCATGCATCTATAACCAACTTATCTTTGACAAAGGAGCTAAAATCAATCCCTGGAGAAAGTACAGTCTCTTCAACAAATGGTGCTGGGAAAACTGGATTTTCACATGCAAAAGTATTAAGCAAGACCCTCACCTTACATCTTACACAAAAATCACTCAAAATGGATTAAAGACCTAATCGATGACCTGATACCATCAAATTATTAGAGAACCTTGCAAGACATTGGCATGGGCTAAGAGTTCTTGGAAAAGACCCCAGAGGCACAGGAATCAAAGCCAAAATTGACAAATGGGATTACATCAAATTGAGAAGCTTCTATACTACAAAAGAAACACTCAGCAGAGTTAACAAGCAACTGACTGAATCTAAGAAATTATTTGCAAACTACACAAATGATAAAAGATTAATAACCAGAATATATAAAAAGATCAAGAAACTCAACAACAATAAAACAACCCAGTTAAGAAATGGATGAAGGACTTAGATATTTTTTCGAAAGGGGAAATCAAAATGGCCAACAAACACATGAAAAAATGCTCAGGATCACCAGCCATCAGGGAAATGCAAATCAAAACCCCTGATAGAATGGCTTTCATACAGAAATCAACAAACAACAATTGCTGGCCAAGGATGTAGGGATAAAGGTACCCCAATTCACTGTTGGTGAGAATGTTAACTGATAAAGCCACCATGGAATACAGTAAGGAGACACCTCAGAAACCTGAATACAGACCTACCATATGACCCAGCCATCCCACTCCTGGGAATTTACTCATGAGAAATGGAATCAGCATATGAAAGAGTTATCTGTACCCCCATGTTTATTGCAGCTCAATTCACAGTAGCAGCAGTTCCCTAAACAAACCCAAGTCACACCTTTCATGGTTGCATATACTGTTCACAATAACGAAAATATGCCTTTGCCTTTTCTCACGTGCCAAAGTCCACCTATCTTTCCAGTCCCAATTTAAATGCCATCTTCTCTGGGCACCCCTCCCCTGCTAACTCCTCCATAAGTTGCACGATACTGTCTACAGTACCCTATATTATAGTAAGTCAGATTGTGACTTTGTCTCTGGAGCCCAAGCCTCCAAGAGACTCTGGCTTATCTCCTAGTGACTCCCTAGGACTAAACTCACTACCTGACTCACAGCAGGTAATAAGTATCTGTGAGTCAAATTTGTAATTCAAACAAAAACAGCCACATGTTACCATCATCCCTCAGTCCCTATTTTCTACCTCAATAAATAAAACTACAGAGACAGAAGGAAAGAAGAAGACCATTTTACTAGACTCTGGGTCTGCAGATGCCTTAGCAGGAAACAGATGAGCTGTGCTAAAATCACTTTCACCCCTGCCATATGGAGTTCAACAGCTCAGCCAAGGCTGAGGCTAGAAACCCAGACACAGACAGACAAGGACAACACGCATAATGGTGACTCCTGGCTAGTAAACACGTTCCTTATGCAATCTTTGAGATTTACAGGAAAAAGAAATACATCTAAATTCATTCATGGGTGAGAGTAATGGTTTCTTCAGCTTCTCTGTCCAAAAAAAAAGGAGCTTTAGTGTATATGAAATTACAATAAATCTACAGGTTGGTTTTAATGTGCTTATTAACAGTTACATGATTCTGTATCTTATGTAATA